CCCCCCCCTGCTAGATCCCCAGTGTTAACCATGCCCCCCCGCCCACATAAGACCGAGGCCCTGGCAAACGAGATGACGCACTACCCCTCGCAATACAGTCTTCCAGTATTAACCCAGGACCAGTATCCGCAGGAACCTATGGGCTGAGCATTGGCGGTAACATCATGACAATAAACAAATCACGGACCCGCATCTACAAACGATGAAGGCCGACTGGATCTTGCAGTTAAACATCTTAGATCAGATTTTCTCCAATGGCAATCGAGAATTAACCTGGAACCATCCCACAGAATTGGTGACCTCACATTGGCGATGCTAGGGGACAGAAAAGACTCTACGGACACAGCTGAGATGTGCCACCCTGGGTGCCCAGTAAAGTTGAAAGGTCATGAAAGTGGAGTTGTACTACTCTATGAGTGCGATGTTCTGGGGCGGCATGGACAGCGCGTGCCATACTTCACAGAATTGTCCAGAGTTGGCGCAGCCCTAACCGATTATCTCGAGCTCCTGAGGACATCGCCAGTGGTACCGACGCAGGAGCAGTTTAACAATATATTCCACAACATGAAGGTCGCCCTTACCCAAAGCAAGGCAGCTAGGATTTCGATGGTCCCCAAGCACCACTTCATGTACGAACTGGCAAGGAGGATCCATTTTTCACATGGGGGCATGCATACGCAGGCTAACTACTGTTACCTAATTGGGGGATCGAGGATGATATAGGGGGAGGTTGGTGTACGGATTAAGAGTGAGGGGGCTGATGCTAATGCCTGGTATGAGAGATGAGAGGAACGAACATCAATTGGGAAAGGGGAAGGAACTTGGGGAAGGGAGGGAACACGTGATGGAGATGAAGATTGACAAGAGGGTGGCTCGCAGGGGTAAACCCGAAAGTTGTGGTAAGGATTTAGGATAGAGGCGCCAAGTGTTCATCTCAGCCCATAATTATGCAAAAAATGTCCCAGGATCCCGTTTCTGGGGGACCCGACAGCGTACAGTTGTTGGAAGGACGAGTCTCTGAACGCCGTCCTCAGGGGGTTTGCCGAGGTAGCCCATCGGGCAACATTTTACATTCGAGTCCATCTATCGTTCAACCTGATCGCGTGTCTCAGGCTCAATCCATACATCAGCTCTACATACGAAGATGCAGATCCTTCGTTGAACTTCGACCATGGAGAAGCCATGGACCTCGAGAGTGCCATCATGGATTCAGTGTGCGGCTCGTGATGCGCTTGCCCGATCTGGATGTGTGGAACCACTCACTGTCTTTGAATTGTTGCCGATCGCATTGGGAGTTGCTTCACAATGGAATGTGGAACGCACAGCTGTTCTTGTCCTACTCTTTTCTGGTGAGGGCGCGAGTGCAAAGCACGCTCAGGATACTTTCGGCGTTGACACGAGAACGATTGAGAGGACTGATGAACCTTGCCAGTGCGTCCTTACTCTTTGTGGACTGCTGTACGCAATCTATTGCGTGTACGAGATCGTTCCAAAGGGCACGATGTGGGCGTCTCCAGAGTGCCGCACTTGGTTGATGTGGCTGTCCCGAGGCACGTACAAGCGCAGCGCGGACAATTGCTTTCTTGGGGACGAGGAGCTAGGACCCGTGCAGGAAGCTAACTCGTGCGCTGTTATCTTGTCCGTGCCTCAGTGTGCATCGAGTGATCGGTGTTGAGATCAGGGGTTAAGTCAAAAGTTGCCCGTGCATGCTCTGGACGTGCGTGATTGATCAGTGGACCCGCACCCATTAATCACCCCGCCCCAGAGTCGAATGTCTTTATCTCGTGAATCGTCTGACCCTCACACCCCAATAACGCACACCTTACACACATGCCACAACAATCCGAATGGAGACGAGATGGATGATTATGAGGAGGAGTGGAAGTTTACATTTAGGAGCGATGGCATACCTGTGTAAAGGTTTCAACACCAGAAGATCGAAAACGGCGAACACATCTCACCCACGATGGATTTCCAACGCGTTCCATCGCGTTTCCAACGCACGCGTTGGAGCGCGTTGGTTATCCATAGGGGGTGATGGCTCGCTTTCGTCAAATACGTCGTTCTCTATATTACCTGTATATATCTATACATTGAACACATTGGTTTCCAATGCGTTCCAACGCACGCGTTGGAAACGCGTTGGAACGCATTGGAACCGCGTTGGAACGCGTTGGAACGCGTTGGAACCGCGTTGGGCCATGGGAGTTCAAACCACCGGCGAGCTCAGGTCCTTTCTGTGGTATTTGTGCTATACGCGTGGAGTGTACGCGTGCATCGAGCAGCCCATCAACAGCCTCCTGTATCAGTTTCACCCATTTGCAGAGGCGCTGGTGCTTACGAGATCTCACAGGGTACTCACTTGGTCGTCTGCGTTTGGCGCGCCCTTTCATAAACAGCTTGAGATTTACGTCACGCTGCCCAAGGAGATTTCGGATGCAATCGTTCATATTGCTCGTGCGACTCCACCACCACATCCGCCCCGTCTCCCTCTCCCATATATTGAGTACACATCTGTGTAACGCACGTTATGCTTTGACTAGGTTTGATATACACAGAATTTGAATCTAATCGTTCTCGATCCAATGTCGATGTTCCGTGGTGTTATGGCAACTTCCTACATCTGCAATAATTCAGTTTCCCGCCCAGGAGAAAGCTGAGACCTACCTTGCTCGCAGCAAGAAGGACGGGAACCAATCGCTGGCATTGCGTGGTGAGTCTGCTGTCCCGTTGACTAAGGGTTCTGGGGGTGGGCTGACGGCTTCGGATCACGCGCACGGATCGCAGAAATACCCTGACGACCTGGCAAAGGCGATTGCCATGCTGAGTGCGGACGTCTCTGAGCAGACGACCCTGTTCGGTTCGGGGTCGGCGGGCAGTTCTGTGCAGGCAGCTGCCGCTGATGGCGCTGATTAGATGCAGCGTTTGGCGCATCTTTTCGATAGGCGCTGCTCGGGGCTGTACTCGCGAGAACTGGTGCGAATGCAACAGCACTGTGTTGTGACTCGTCATTCTACTCAACCTCCTCATCTGGCCCCACCCATCCTCATCATGCGCCTCACCATCGTTCCATTGATGCGAGTTCGATCGATTGCACCGCCGATGAGTTCGGAGCGCAACGCAAGCGCATCTGATGCGTCGAGTGTTTTATCAGTGACATTGTTTCATAATTCAGGTCCCTGGCCGTTCCATCGATTTCGCGTTCCTTACCGTTGCGCCCACTATGGCAGGCACGTAATGAGGTGGATGAGGGATGTTATGCATTGCCAGTGGACGTCGGCTCAAACACGGTGACAAGAACACACATAAGGAACGTAAGATAGCCGAGGATTGCGGGGGTGTAAGGATAACGACGGGTCGGGGGTAACAATTTGAAAACGAAGCACGTGCGGCATGTGAGGCACGTGGAAGAGACAACAGTGAAACACATATGATGTTCAGTGTGTGGTAGCGGGTGTGTGGGATCAGATTTGGTGAACGAGATACGATGAGGCATACAGAGGGGGATGACGGGGCTCACGAAAACCGACACGGAGTGGGAACACGGGGGGGGGGGGAGAAGGCGGAGGAGCGTAGGCAGGATTGAGGAGTTGACGCGGAGGGGGGGGGCTGCAACGGGTTTATGCTTTTCTATCGGCACGCCCTGCGTTGCGTGCAAGATCCTAGCTGTTGGATGCGGTGTCAGACGCGTCACGCGCACGCGGTGTCGGTTTGTGTTCCGTTCCGCCAAGGCGCAGTGATGATGATTTCGAGTGGCCCCGCCCGTTCATCATTCACCCTCTGCAAGGGTGTCCCTTTTCACCCAAGTGCAGCACAACGCATGTTTGCATAAAGGCGCACGTGTTGCTTTTGCGTGCCAGTGCGCGCGGCACTCTGACGTTTCACATGAGTTCGCGATCGGGTTGCTGAGGGGAACCTCTCTCGTCTGCATTTCACGGACGACCTAACAACGCACATGCAAACACACACACACACACACGCACACAATCTCTCTCTCTCTCTCTCTCTCTCTCTCTCTCTCCCACGCACTCACGCACGCACGCACGCAAACGCACACGAACATCGTTATCGGTATTCCTGTCTCTATATATATATATATATATATACACACACACCCTTCCAGCGCCCGAGCGATAGCGCAGTCGCGTTTTGCCGATGAATTGCTCCTCGGCGCACCGCCCATGACAGTTTGACGAAGGTAGTGGGTGGGGGAGGAGAAGGAGGAGGAGGAGGAGGAGGAGGAGGAGGAGGATGCGGGAGGAGGAGGCGGAGGCGGAGGAGGAAGAGGAGGACGAGAAACAAGACACAACACGAACATGGGTATGATTATGGATGAGACGTCAAACTTGGGATGATATGCCGAAGAGTTTTTTATTCAATGGTGCGCTTCGAAGCGGGTCCGCCACCAATTATAAGGAAAGGGTGCCATGCTTTTTCTGTCGCTTGGAAAGACGCCCTGGCCATTTTTTTAGGCAACCCCAGAGTTTAGTTTTTAGATTCGGCGCGTCCCAGCTGACGTGTGTCGATGTCGCAGAATGTGTGATTTCTGCGTGGATGTCATCGTAGGCACTGGTCGACGTTTCGGTACTGTTTGCCTTGCCAACCAAAACATATCTAAATGATGAGGGAGATGTTGGTGGTTATGTTGGTGATGGTGACCATGAGGGAATCATTTTGCCGATCCTCTTATCTCGATGGGTTGTTATAGGGTTGTTTGATAGGCTTGCGGTACTCCGCTGGCTGGTGTGTTACATTTTCTTGTTGGGGGCACATGAATTCCATGCGCGCGTGCTTAATAAGCAAAAACCTGAAATTTCATTGCGTTGGGGCTCTTGACGCAAGATCCCAAAAACACAACAAGATCAGGGATCTTAACGCAAGATCCTGAGGACCACTGGGGAGGCTGCGGGAGAAGGAGGGAAGAGCAGGCGCGACAACGTCCAGCCCCTCGTTCTCACCAGTGCCATCCTCGGCTGGCACCTCCTCAAACTGGCGCGCCGTCACCCTCGCAGCCACTCCGCTAAAGCAGGGGAGCTCTGGGGAGACCGCCGCGCCGTCTCGCGCCTCGGCCCGCCGGCTTGAGGGTTTCGCGGCAGCTCCGTCAGCATCATCCGCCACTGGTAACCGTTTCCTGCCGACGCGACTCCGAGATGCCGGAGCATGCCCAGCCGCAGCCACGGCGGCCATGGCAGCCAGCGCCCCAGCCAGCGCTGGCACCTCCATGCCGTGGCCAGCGCTGACGTCGGCAGCATAATCACCCCAGCTGGCGCCGCCCCCGCCTGCCCCGCCATCACCATCACCTACAGACAGCACTGCGCAGGGGGTGCGCCGCGGACGCCATAGCCTGCTCCGCCTCGGGGAGCGCCTCGCGCTCGGGCGTCCAGTCCGTTACGGGGCCTGCCGCCTCCATGAGCATCACGCGCAACAGTTCGTAGTCCGCGAGCTCCTCAGTCAGCCGGGCAATGGCCTGGGCGACGCCGTTGCCGACGCCCACAGAGTCCCCAGAGACCGCTGCCTCCAAGGAGGCGTCGATCGCGACCTGGGCAAGCGCGCCCGGCGCGAGCCGCCCTGCCCTCAGGCCCGACCGCGGGTTAGGGGCTCGCTGCCCATTGATTGCATCTAGCGGCGCCTCGTGGGCGAACGCACCCGGCGCAAGCCGCCCGGCGCTCTCGCCCAACAGTGGAGCAGAGGCGCCCACTGCGGGCGCCGCGCCAGGTCCCCCGAGCGGCCTCCAAAAGGCATGCCACCTTACGCCGTGGAACCTCTCTCTGGTCATCGCCCCCGACTTGGCCGCCGCCGAACATCTCCGATGGATTCGTCTCCACGCCGAGTCTGCGCGCTGCAGCCGCCTGCTAACGGGAAGGCGCCGTGGCCCTGCAGGGCTGGCAGTCGAGCCGGCGCTTGCCCTCGTAGGTGGCCGCCGTGGAGTTGCAAATCACGCGGCGGATGATGCCGTTCTTCATCGCAGTCACGCAGCATGATGCTGACCTGCGGCTGAGTTCGGGCAGCCCTGGCCCGAGGCGGCAGCTTCGGCTCGTGCTCCTGAGGTTCCCAAAACTGGGTCTCAGAAATACGGCAGACTCCCCAAGCCATGAACTTCGCTATGCTGATAGCGTCGCCCACGCGGCGCTGGCGCGTCAATTTGCGAAGCCTGGGGAGACGGCGACCGAGCCGGCGCCCAGCCGCGCGAACCAATCAGCTCAGCAATTGCCTATCCAGTGCATCGGGTCGATGTCCACGCGCCCCATGAGATCCTCCATCGTCCTGCGCGCAGGGCGCCAGAGAAAGGCCGGCGGCCTTCGCGCCTGCACCGCGTTGAAGATATCCCTCCATAACCTAGCGCGATGGCCGCTGGAGCCCGCCGCCCGGGGGTCCCACGCGTTACCCTCCTCAGTGAAGCCCTCCAAGTCAGTGACGAGGGAGGTAAGGTTGGGGTTGGCCCCCAGGGCCTGGAGGCCAGCGCGCCGCGCTGCTCGTCCCGCGGTCTGCCGCCGCCCAGAAAGAGTGCCGAACTGGGCCCGCGCTGGCCAGCCCCGTGCGTCGACGCGCGCGATCGCCCAGCCGCGCTGGCGCGCATCCTCGAAACCATTGGCCCTGGAACGAGCCGCACGTGTAGATGCACTCGCGCGTTCCAGGCCACAACAGGCGCACCGCCGATGTCCCACACGCCTGTCAGATGCACGCGGGCACCATGCCGTGGGCAAACTTCCTGGCCCGCGGCCGCATGCCTGCTGCCCAGAGGCGCTGAAGCGCGCCCTGTGCCTTCGCCCCATTCACCCCGCGCGGGCCCCAGAGGCGCGCGTCGATAGTCCGCGGCCAGAGCAGCTCACCATTCGCCTCTGGGTCAGCTGCCCGCGCTGCTGGCGTCGGATGCTCCGGCGGAGGGCGTCCTGGATGTCTCCCGGAGCCCCGGAGCCGTCTCCATCATGGAGAAAGCGCAACCTTGGTTGTCGACCAGCAAATTGGCTGTCCACGTCGTCCAGTTGACCCGCCGGATGGCAAGGCACGCCGCAGCCATGGACCCTCGCGCGCGCGCGCCCAGGATGGGCCCTGCTGCAGTTCGCCATGGGCGCGGCCCCAAGAGCGCTGCACATCCGATGGGCTGGCCCGGCCCTGCCGCCACCGGCCGGCACATCGAATCACGAGCTCGGTGGTGATGGCAAACATCGGATCGCACTTGGGCGAAAGCTGCGTCGCGGGCGCGCCCGTGAATCAGCTGGAGACGGGCGATGCCCTGCCAGCGCCCCCGCCGCTGTGCGGATTTCCTTCAGCCTGCGCTCGACGACGCCGCCGACGCCAGCGCCGCGCCCCGCGGCCAGGGCGAGCCCCGCGGTTTAGAGCCGCGCCCCCGAATATTTCATGGCCCAGGTTTCGGGCCCGCGCATTCCCGGGGACCCGCAGCGCCCGCGCCTCTCCATGGAAGATCCGCGCGACCTTCCGGTCGGTGGCCGCGAAGCCCAACTTGGACAACTGCACGTGGAGGTGGAAGGCCTTCATGTCCTGGAAGAAAAACTCCGCGGCCTGGGCCAGGGCGCGGGCGCCTGGGCCGGGCTGGCCCGTCCAGCGCAGCGTCGCGTCGTCCACCGACGACCGCAAGATGGCGGGGGCATCCAGTTGAGCCGCTCTGCGCAGCGCTCGGGCGATGAGGACGCTGAAGGCCGGGATCGCGCGCGAGCAGCCCGCGATGGCCCCCAAGAGGCTGAAGACCTCGTGGGACACGCTGTCAAAAGGCCGCAAGATGCGCGGGGTGGGAAGTCCTGCAGGAGCATTCACATGAGCCTCTGTGGGTACCCGACGAGGTGGGCCTCGCGCAACACGCTGGCGGGATCGATCGTCTCGAAGCACTTCTAGAGGTCGGCGGTGACCGCGCTGGAGGCCGGCCCCGGGGTCGACCGATCCCGGAGGAGATGCCGTGGTTAAATGCGCAGTCGCTGGCGCTCCGCCCCGATCTCAGCCCCCAGATCTGTCGGCATTGCGCGCGGGCTTTCCGGCGCTTGGACAACGGGCGGCGCGCCCGAGACCACGCGCGCAGGAGGGAGGTGCGGGGGCCGGTCAACCTGGCGGCGCCTCCCTCTATGGGCAACCGGACAAGTTCACAGACCAGGCGTCGCTCAGGCCAGACGCCCAAAAGCCAAAAGCCCTGCAGCGTTCGCAGAGGACTCCCAGAACGACGAGCGCCTCGTCCGAGAGCTGGCCCAGCGACCGGGGCACCAGCCGCGAGGGCTCGCGGGCTGAACTCGCCGCGAAGCTGCGAAATGCGCCGAGGAGGCGATTAGAGGCGATGGCAGGCAGCGGTTCCCAGGCATCGCACTGCGCGGGCCGCTCGCGAAAGGTCAACTGGTTGGTGCCCCAGATCCTCTGCCACGTGGTCATCTCCGCGTCGGCGGCCTCGTCGGGTCGCCCCGTCTGGTTGGCATCGGGTGCGACCTCTTCATGCGCTCGCAGCTCGCTGGTGCGATGTGCGAAGCTTGCTTTGCCTGGGCCCGAGACCGCCGCGATTTCTGGGGCGGCAACTCTCCTGCCCGCTGCTGCTGGGCACCGCGCGCGCGCGAGTGCCCCCCCAGAGGGTGCGACAGTCGGGCTGCATGCGCGAGCATGCCCGGCCCCAGCTCGTGGAACTGCCGATGTGTAAGGTCGAGCTGGCTTAAGACCCCGGTGGAGAGCCGGATCTCGCGCGCGTAGCCGTCGAGCTGGCACGCTGCAGCGGCCCAGCCCTTGAATGTTTCCTCCTGCAAGGCCCGCTGCTTCGCCCTATGTGCGGGGGAGTCGGCGCGCAGGTTCTGGCGCGCGCAATCATGACCTGTCACACTCTCCCGCGGGGCCCGCGGAGGCCATTCACAGGTGCTCGGACCCCTCCCCTTGTCGGCGCCCGCGGAGGGGCTGAGGCCTGGGCTCGGTAAAGAGTCCGAGGAGATACCTGGCCCTGCGCGCTGGCGTCGGGCTCAGACAATGCTCGCAGCCGCTGCGCAGTAGCCATCAGGTACTCGTGGACCGCGGCCAACAACAGCAATCCAAGTTGTGACATTGGCTCCGCGCGGCGGCCGTCGTCGTCGTGGCCCCCGCTGCAGCTAGTGATAGGGGCTCTGCTCTCGCGGATCTACGATGTCGCGCCCGCCCAGGCGCCCAGTTACTCGTGGGCGACGCGCCGCAGCACCGGGGCCCGCGCCGCCGCGAGCTGGTCCGCGCGCGCCGCCGACTGGAAGACCTCTGCCCAGGAGGCCCGCGGAAATCGCGCGCAGCCCACGCGCCGGGGGCACCGCCTGCAATTGCTTGGGTTCAAGCAGCTTCCAAACCCACGCATGTCGCAGTGCCGGCGTCACAGGCGCATGCGGCCACAGCTTGGCGGGGTTGTCCACCCCGGGAATGTCGGGGAGTCTGGGCGCGAAGTGGCGCGACGCCACGAAGAAATCGATGGTCGACCCTGGCTTGGCGACGCGGCACGTAGCAGCCATGCGCGCAACGCATCGGCCCCCCACGAGGCGTAACCAACCCTGCCCGAACAGCGCCGCCGGGGCCGTCTGAAGTCACCCAGCACCACCCAGTCCAGCCCCATGCCATTGACGCCTTGAGGTGCTTGGTCACCTTCCATCATCGGATCCCCAAGTTCTCTGGGGAGAGGCCCTCGAGCGTGCGCAAGTAGACTGCTGCGCAGATGAATCCACCCTTGCGCGCCGCGCGCACGTGTGCCGCCACCGCGCGGCCTGGCTCAAGAAACGGAGTATCGAATCCAGGAGGGTGAGTGATGAGGACGCGCGACGGTGCCGACACCGCTACGCTTCGCTTCCCACACTGCCATTGGCCGCACCTGTGGCGACCGCAGGGGGCCCAGACCCCCCTCCAGCCCAGGTCCTGGGCAGAGGCCTGAGTCTCGCCCAACTTGGGCTCGATCACGTGGTGCTCCTGGGCCCCCATGATCTGCGGAATTGGACCATCAAGTGGTGAGGTGCTCCAGCAGCGGCCCATGACTGCTGGCGTTCACCGTTGCGCCGCCATGATGGGGAATTCACGCCCCATCTCCAGCTGCACCGCCGGCCGAAGCCGCTGGGCGCGGCCTCCTGAACACGCGGGCGGTCTCCAGGGCAGCCTCCATGACCCGCTTTGCTGCTGCTCGGACCTCCGTCTCCGTCGACGGCACGGCGTGGCCGATTTGTCCAGGCGGGCGCGAAGCTACCCCACGCCTTGCGCATCAAAGCCCAGGTCGTCCTCCATAGGGACGGGGACCTCCTGTCCACCTGGGGCCTGTTGTGCTGTCGCGCCGGGTTCCTGCGCGGCCGCGGCCGCCTGCTGGCGCTGCCGCTCTCGCGCCGTCAGCTCCGCCTGGCGCAGGCCTTGGACCATCTGCTGCGCCTGCGTGCGAAACGTGCATGAGGGCCTCCAGCTGCTTGGCTGACTCCTCGACGCTGGGGGCGCGACCATGACCGCGCGCCTCGGGCGGCCCAGGAGCCGTTTCCAGGAGTTGGTGTCGCTGCTGCTGGAGCTCCACCGGCTCGCGAGACTGGTCATCCACGACTTTCTCCTGCTTGATGGCCTCATCGAGCAGCTGCTGGGCTTGGTTGCGCAGCTCCTCCACGCGGCCCTTAACCTTCGCGATGCTGGTCTCCAACTTGGCCTCCTTGTCGCCGGCCGTGCGGAGGCGGGCCTTGAACGGTTTGGCGTCGAGCCTCTCCAGGCGCAGCTGTTCCCGCTCGGTCTTTTACCTGTGCCGCAGCTTCTTCGCGTCGTCGTCACCGTCGCCAACCAGCGCCTCCACGGCACGGGCGCGCTGGTCCAGGAGCGCCAGGCGCGCGACCCGGACCTGCTCCTCAGCGTACCCATCAGCCTCGCCGGAATGGTCTGCACCGCCTGTGCCCTCGCCCTTGGCCTTGAGAGCTTGCTGTTGGCGATCGCCAGCTCCTTCTGGAGGGCCGCGATTTTGCTGGCCGTCCACGACGGGATACCATCGAGCTTGCCACCATCCCCCTTCCCATACCCCTTCCCTGCCCCTCCTTTGCCGCCCCCGCTGTCGCCCGAGGCATGCCTCGAGGGCGGACCGTCCACGACCTTGCCGCAGAAGGCCACCGACTTGGGCATGTGGCAGGAGCGGCACGTGAGACGGTCCGCGAAGTTGATGCATTTCTGCTTGTTCGGGCCCGCGCACCACTTGCACATTAATTTGGTGCGTCGCGCAGCCCGTCCTCCCTCGACTCCGCCGCCGCCGACCGCTCCATGCACCACTGCTCGAACAATACTCCAGTAGTGTGCAACGGGGCGGCCCAGAAGGGCACAAAACTGATGGCCACAGAGGCCACGATAATACATTGGAGTGCGATGAATCGTGGCTCAAAGCGCGACCCCTCGCGCTCAAGCCGCCCTCTCGGATTCGCGGTCGTCGGGAATCGCATTGCCTTGAGCCAAAATGGCTACGGATATGTGTGCGTGGTGTGTGTGTGCGTGTGTATGTATGTGTGTGTGCGTGTGCGTGTGCGTGTGCGTGTGCGTGTGCGTGTGCGTGTGCGTGTGCGTGTGCGTGTGCGTGTGCGTGTGCGTGTGCGTGTGCGTGTGCGTGTGCGTGTGCGTGTGCGTGGGTGTGTGTGTGTGGGTGTGTGTGTGTGTGTGTGTCTGTGTCTGTGTCTGTGTCTGTGTCTGTGTCTGTGTCTGTGCCTGTGTCTGTGTCTGTGTCTGTGTGTGTGTCTGTGTGTGCGTGTGTGTGTGTGTGTCTCTCTGTGTGTGTATGTGTGTGTGTGTCTGTGTGTGACTGTGTGTGTTGGGGGAGGTCGGAGGATGAGGAGGAGGAGGAGGAGGAAAAGGGGAGGGGGAGGGGGGAGGGGAGGGGGAGGGGTAGGAGGAGAGGAGGAGGAGGAGGAGGAGGAGGCGGAGGATGAGGGAGGAAGGATTAGGAGGAGGAGTAGGCGGAGGGGGAGGACTTGGAGGAGGAGGGGAAGAGGAGGAGGAGTTCGCCCCTTTCTGCAGGAGCAGATCCTCCGTTGACCGCCTCTCGCAGAACCACCCCTTGCACAGAGCGGGGGCGGCCGGGGCAAGCCTCTGACCACGAGGGCTTGCCAGCAGATGTTCTGTCACCTGCAGGTGAAGCCGCAGCCGAGGGCCGAGGGAGGCGGAGGACGAGACAGAAGGGACGACACTCGAGGAGATCGAGGGGGCGACACTCGAGGATCCAGGAGTGAGGCTCTCTACGATCTGGCACGTGTTCGCAGCTCTTCGGGCCTCCGTCGCCACGGTCGGGTCGCCCTTGTGACTCTCCCGAACCATAGGAGGAATTCCACGGGGATGAGCTCCACGGGGATGCGGAGGACGAGGTGGACGAAGGGCGAGGGCAAACAAAAAAGGAGTGAGGGGTGGTGATGGTGGTTCACTCTGCGCAAGGGGATAGATCCACAGCGTAGCAATACGCACACCACGATCACGACGACGACGCCGACGACGCAACGCTACCGAACCACCCCGAGCAGCACAGATTTGGAGCACTGCCCACCCTGCGAGGAGGTTAGGCACGCAATGCCTCGTTCGAGCGGTGCCGCGGCCTGCCCTCTCGAGCAGAAGCCCCCCCCCCTCCGCAGTCCGACATGTCGGATCTGCGCCCGCGCACTCTGCTGGGCTGAGGAGGGGGGCGTTTCGGCACCCCCTCTCGGCGGTGGACAAACCTCCCTTTAGTAAACCTCCGTCCTCCGTTTAGGGACAGCGGCCTGGGACCGAAACCGACGGACCTAGACCCGCAAAACATCACGGCCGCGACGCCCTCTCGCGAACCGAAAGCGGCCAATACCTTAATCGACGTGTCAGGGTAGGACGTCTATCCACCTCCGACTCTCCCCCAACCTCGCCAGGGCCATCGACGAGGGAAAGTGCTGCGGAGGCCAGCGCCGTCCCAGGGCCGAGGAGCTCTGAGCGCCGCGGCTCGGAGCGGCGGGAGGACAAACGGGCGGACGGACACGGCCCAACGGCGCGCGACGCCTGACGAGCCACGTGGGCGGCCGCTGCACAGAAGGAAGCAGTTCCCGAGCAGCGTAACGCGCACGACAACCAAGACGACGCCGACGACCAAGATGGATGGACACGAGGCGCGCTGACGATGCCTGGGGACGGGAGGGAGGGGGAGGAGATGCAAGAGGGAGGATGGAGTTGGAAGAAATGCAAGTCCAGGGCGGAGAAAGGCAACAACAACAAAGGAGGACACACGGAGAAACAAGTAAGATGACGAGGACGAGGAGGCCACGATGACTATGAGGAGGCAGAAGATGAGGAAGGGGAGGGGGGAAGAAGAGAGTAATGGACGGCTCGGGAAACATGCCATTGTGTACTGACGCGGTTGGCAACTTTGTGTGAATGCCGCTGGGGCCGAAGAGAGGAGAAACACGGACAGGAATCAAACAACGAGGAGGGGAGGAGGGAGGAGTGAGAAGGATCAACAGGAGAGGGAGGTAGGGAGGAGGGTGTGGAGGAAGAGGACGACGGTGTCAAGGGTGCGGCCACCTCCTCCTCCTCCTCCTCCTCCTCCTCCTCCCCCTTTTTGTGCTGGGCGAAGTCTAGGTGCGTGGCCAGTAGCGTTGGTGCGAGAAAGAGCCGCCCCAGCAGAGTGTCGCACACACTGTGCTGATGGCATTCCTCCTCCTCCTCCTCCTCCTCATTCTCCTCTTCCTTCCTCTGTCCCTCCCTCCCTCCCTCCCCGTCCCGCCCTCCCCCTCCCTCCAAGCCCCCCTCCTCCTCCTTGCCTCGACCGCTCGCCTCGCTC